ATAAGAAACCTGTGAGGTGGTCTATGGGAAGAGTTATTAATGAATGCAATAAAGAGGGAAAATTCCACAGTACAGTAGTGACCACTTTGTATCGGTGTGAGGCATGCATGGTCTCTGAATGTTAAAGAAAAATGCTGGAAGCAGTGGAAATGTGTTTTAGATGTCAAATATCAATATCTGGCATTAATATTATGTAGAGAATGAAGAGGTGAAGAAATCAGAAGACTAGTCGTATGAAAGGTATTATTTAAAGATACAAATTTGCTGAGATGGTTCAAGAATTTACCAAATTATAAATGCAGTGACTGATTATTATTATAATAAAAAAGAAGCACTAAACCACAAGGGTTATACAGCGCTGCAGGGCAGGGAAGGAAGCGAGGGTATTGGGTGGCAAAAGGGAGAGGGATGATTAGTAGGTTACGGAGAACAGCGGGGCAGTGGATAGTGTGGGGGTAGAGCATAGCAAGAGATTGAGGTAGAAAAGGCTGAGGGGAGTACCAAAGGTATCATCATCAGAGTTTGTGGAGTAAATCAGCTGTCAAAAAGTCAATGAGAGAGTCCGGATTAAAGGAGGATCCATCAGCAAGAAGGGAAGGTAAAGAGAGAGCAGCAGAGCGGAGACGACGCTGGAGGTAAATTCTGCGTGCTAGTTGATAGAGAGGGCAGTCTAACAGAATGTGGCTAACCGATACTAGAACCTGACAGTTCTCACAGAGAGGAACAGGGTGCCTCTCCATGAGATACCCATGAGTAAGACGAGCGTGGCAAATGCAAAGATGAGAGAGTCTCCTAACCTCGACGCTGATGACAAGAAGATTGCCAGTAACCTATACTCGGTTTAATAGAATGAAGTTTGTCATTGAGCAGATCAGATCAATGTTGTTGCCAACAGGTGTGAAGGTAGGTAGCTATTACAGCAAAATAGTGAAACTGGATGGTCATGTACTGCTGACCTTGCAGCAGTGTCTGCCTGTTCATTGCCCTGTACGTCAACATGACCAGGGACCCCACAAAAAACATATCTTTACGCTTGGTAGAGATACGGCGTAACCAAAGTTGGATACGGAGAACTAGGGGGTGAAGTGTATCAAATTTTTTTATAGCCTGTAAAGCACTAAGGGAGTCTGAAACAACCACAAATGATGACACAGGCATAGATGCAATACGGATAAGTGCTGCAAGAATGGCATACAATTCAGGAGTAAAAATGCTAGCCGAGGATAGTAAGTGCCCTCGCACGACACTGTCCGGAAACGCTGCTGCCATTCCGACGCCATCGGAAGACTTAGAGCCATCTGTGTACACTGCGATGGCATGAGAATGAGAGCGGAAGTGGTCAAGAAAAAGAGCGGGAAGCTACTGTAGGCTGTCAGGCTTTTCGTGCAAGGGAGTGAGAAAGAACAGACTTGAACAGCTAGAACTTTCCAGGGGGGTAGGGAAAAGTGAGATGCTACATGAACATAGAAAGGTGATAACTGAAGGGAAGACAAGAGAGAATGGAGGCGAAGAGAAAAGGGATGGAGCAAACAGGGGCAACGAACAAATAAAGAATGTCTACTAACATCGGTGACTATTCTATATATGGAAGGATTGTGGAGATCATGAGAGCGAACATAGTAGCGAGGACAACGGGCATCGTGGTGATCGGACAAGGATGGAATATTCGCTTCTGCATAGAGGCTCTTAACAGGGAAAGAGTAAAAAGCACCGAGGCATAAATGTAATCCCTGGTGATGGATGGGATTAAGGCTAGAGAGAGTAGCAGGAGAGGCCCCTGAATAGATCTGGTCACCATAACTGAGTTTCGATAAACTGAGGGCTGAATGCAGGCAAGCCATTAATAACTTCACAGCAGCAGTGACAAACAGTGACTGGCACACTGAGCTAGAAATCTATACAGATATTGACGAATGTATTAATAATTTTCTAGAAAAGACCCAATACCTCTATAACAAGCACTGCCCCAAAAAAACTAAACAGATGACAGCTACTGAACAGTCCCTGGCTAACACCCAGCATCCTCAAATCCATAAATACAAAGCACCTATACGAAAAACAGTACGGAATGGGTCACATAACCAGAGACCAAACAAAACGTTACTCATCAATCCTAACCAGCCTGATAAGAAGGGCTAAAAAGTTGTATTATGAGAACAGATTATCCAACTTACGAAGTGACGTAAAAAAGACCTGGAAAACCCTATCAGAAATTCTAGGAACAAAAAAGATATCACGAAATAGAGAAATTGAATTAACAAAACCAGATGAACCCCAACTCCCACCAACTGAAACAGCAAACAGACTCAATAATTTATTCTCCACTATAGGAAAAAACCTTGCCAATAAAATCCCAAGCTCTGATACCCCACCCAATGACTACCTCACTGGCAACTACCCGAACACACTGTTCCTAGCTCCGACTAACCCTACTGAAGTCTCCCTTATTATCAACACACTAAAAAACAAGACAGGAGATTTAAATACCTTACCACCCTTTATATACAAAAAATTGTCACAAGTGCTATCACCAATCATTGCAACACTCTTTAATAAATCCAAAGAATCCTCTACCTTCCCTACAATTCTTAAAATAGCAAGGGTCACCCCGATCCATAAAGGAGGAGACCAAACAGACTTGAATAACTACAGGCCAATATCCAACTTACACCCTCTCTCTAAAATCTTCGAAAAATTAATTCATAAGCGAATCTATTCCTACCTCATCTCCCACAAGATACTCAACCCCTGTCAATTTGGGTTCAGGCCTAATAAAAATACTTAGGATGCTATTTTACACATGCTAGAACACATATACACTGCAATAGAGAAAAAAGAAGTCCCACTGGGGATCTTCATTGACTTACGTAAAGCTTTTGATACAGTTGACCATGACTTGCTCCATATAAAATTGTTGCACTATGGTATAAGAGGGCACTCCCTCAACTACCTCAAGTCTTACCTCAGCAACAGAAGCCAATATGTGTACACAAACGGGGCAAACTCTTCTGCACAGCCAATTACAGTTGGTGTCACACAGGGAAGTGTCCTAGGCCCTCTTCTCTTTCTCATATACATAAATGACCTACCAAATGCATCACAACTACTCAAACCCACACTATTTGCAGATGACACTACATAAGTCTTCTCTCACCCGAGCCCAGTCACGCTAGCCAATACTGTAAATACCGAATTACAGAAAATATCTACCTGGATGAGGACTAACAAACTTACTCTACACATTGACAAAACCTACTTCATTCAGTTTGGAAACAGAGCTGCAGATGTCCCTCTTAACATAATGATAAACGGATCACCTATCACAAAATTCACAGAGGGAAAATTCTTAGGAATCAACCTTGATAATAGACTCAAATTTCATACACATATACAACAAATTTCCAAAAAAATTTCCAAGATCATAGACATACTATCGAAGATACGGTACTATGTTCCACAGTCAGCCCTCCTGGCCCTATATCACTCACTTATTTACCCCTATCTCACCTATGGAATTTGTGCATGGGGCTCAACAACAATAAACCATCTCAGACCATTAATTACCCAACAAAAGGCTGCAGTCAGAATAACAAATTCCAACTACAGGCAGCACACTCCACCAATATTCAAAACTCTAAGCCTACTCACCATACAAAACATCCATACTTATTACTGCACCTACTACATACATAGAACACTAAACTCTGATATAAACCCTCCCCTCAAACGTCTCCTTACCAACCTCAACAGAACACATGACCATAACACAAGGCACAGATCACTCTTTGATGTTCCTCTTGTCCACCTCACGCTATGCAAAAACTCAATGCACATAAAAGGCCCTAAAATCTGGAATTCATTACCTGTGAATATAAAACAAACACTGTCTGTTTATAAATTCAAGTCTCTTCTCAAAAATCACTTACTCACCCACAACTAAATAAATACTGAATAATTGTATCACATAAATTGTATCTCATAAATGTTTTTCATTATTGTATCTCATAAATGTCTAACCTGTGACCCAATGGAATGTTTTTCATTATTGTATCTCATAAATGTCTAACCTGTGACCCAATGGAATATTCTTTTAGGCAATTACATTGCCTAAAAGAATATTCCATTCTATTGAATGCACAGCAACACAGTAAATGACCATATGACCTGTCTTTGTAATACTCATTTGTGCTAAATTGTTATCTGTTTGCAATAATGTTTTTACCATTGAATATATCATTGCTTAGTTAATCTTAAGTTAATTTTAAGCCTGCCCATAATGCTCTGCATACAAGGGGCTTTGGCATGTTGCACTTTAATAACTGTATTCCTTTGTACTTCTCTGTATCATGTTCAAATTAATGAATAAATAAATAAAATAAATAAATAAAAGGAGTGTTCAACAATCAGCTCCCCATGAAAGATGAGCAAGGGTTTTAAGAAGGTTCAGCCGGCTGTGACAAGTTGCCTTCAGTGAGGTTTCCAAGATAACCTACGATCAAAGAGAAGGCCTAGAAACCTGACCGTATCATGTTCAGGGATACGTGATGCAGTGACTGAGAGGGTGGATGGAAGGTGCTGTTGAGGATGTTCCAGAAAGGGCTTGAACAACCAGCAGGCAATGGGTGAGCCTATTTGATCTCAGTAGACTAGCATTTTTCAAAATTTGACATGAAGTTGAAATGGGGGTAAGGCAACATGCATGGATTCCTGAAAACTGGTTAGCTGGACTCAAGTTCTAGAAGAGGCACATACAATGCCTGCACTTGGAAAGATGGGTAAAGATATTAGTGTTCTAAGAATTATTGGAAATGTAATTTCGGTGTACTTCTGGAAATACGTACAACTATAGTAGTAATGGTAAATTTGTGTTTTGAATCACATGCACAAGTGCAAAATGGCCAGCCAACTTTTTAAAAAAAATCACTACATTATCTTATGACAATTTTATATATAATGCTGATATCATAGTTGAATTTTGGATTAAAAAAAAAAAAGCATACTACCATCAGTAAATATATTAATACAAATATTTTGGTGCCTAAAACCTTAACATTTATCTGCATTTGTATTCTAGAATATTTAACCAATTATCAAACTAATCAAGCCCTGTATGACCCTCGTGGTTTAGTGCTTAGTTTTGATTATATCTAACTAATCAAGGCTTTTTAACATACCAGCCCTCTCTCACCAAGGTAGGGGAACCCAAAATATAAGAGGAAACACATTCACCATCATTCAATCTGTCTTGCCAGAAGCATGCTGATATCACAATTCAGTTTGAGCCTCTGAACTGCAACCTCAACCATCCTTTAGAGTGCAGGCACCATACTAGTCAACATTACACGAGATATTCAACATATGATTAGGCTAGTTCTACACGTTCTTTCTTTTTCCTATGCCTTTTTCTCATTCCTTTAATTTCCACCACATTTTGTTGCTGTGATTCTTTAATTTTCTTGCTCTTTTTACAGATAAAGGGTTTGGATTCTTGGGTTTCTTCTTCTTTTGTGGTGGTGGTTCATCATCGTTTCCAATATACTGACGTTTAAGACACTTTAAAGTTTTTTTTTCATGGGCTGTGAGCATTCTGGAATAATAATATTAAAGTTAAAATGAAATTAAACTATAATACAGTAGTTCAGTTAAGAAACAGGCTTTTAACCCTTTCAGGACCCAGAGGCCAAATTTCCAAGTGTGCACCAGAGTCCAAGAATTTTCAAAAAAGAATTTTGTTATTTTTTCTTATGAAATGGTAGAAAATCTTTTTCTGAAGGTAATAAAACAAAAAGTACGAAATTTCATGGAAAATTGACGAAATTACGCCTCGCGAATTTTGATGTGTCAGCGATATTTATGCATTGGCAATTTTGCCGACTTTGACTCCCATTTTAGGCCAATTACATTATTCCAGTCAACCAGATTCTTAGCTATTTCACTAGTATTACTTCTATTCTATCGATTGAGCACAAGAAATCACCAAGTCAACTGTTTCAACTACAAAATAAAGTGATTGGAATTTGGTAATTTGGCCAATTTAATGCAAATTTCAAAATATTCCAATTTCAAAACAGGGTCCAGAATAAACAATGCAGGCATTCCTGGCACTAAACTAACATTTCCTCTGTTCATTAGTTATGTTTTCAGGCTTTACAAATGAATTCCATTTTGACTTTTTATTCACATAATGAATTTTTATTCAAACCAAAAAATAGAAGATTTACTGTTATGCAATATTGCAATAATTGTATAAATAATATCACCACATTTGTGAACGTATATTAGACCCACCAGCTGCGTATATTAGACGTGTGAGATCATTTGTTTACTTTTGAACATAGGCAAAAAATTAACATTTCCACTACTTTGAGCTCAGTTTCAAGCCATTTCCAGTATTAAAACCAATCCAAATCATCTCTATTTCTGTAATATATCTTCCAATCTATAAAGTGAGACCAAGAAATTGCAAATACAACTATGAAAAACATACAAAAAAACACTGCAAATTCGCTGTTTTAATCGAAAATTACGGTCTCAATTTTTTCTCACTATGCACTGTATGCTGCAGGATTTGTTTTATGTAGTGCACACATACCACATAAATGTATTCTCTCATATCTAGGCAAAAATATACCGCTCACAGCTTATCGGAGTGAGCTGAGCTCATGGTGTAGATCTATGGTTTGGACCCTCAACTCAAAGCCATAGAACTACGGCACGGACCCTGAAAGGGTTAAATCTGGTGTCATTACAAACAAAAACATGCAATGCAATTAAGCCCAATGAACCAAAAAAATTATCAAACTATAATTACAATCCTTTTCTTATTAAGTGATACACAATATTTGGCTTCAATCATCTGTAGGCATGCTACATATAAAACCCAAACTACTATTAAGGTAGATATAGAAGGAACAATGGCATCCACGTATATCCACTAGATACAGTACAACACTGTTGAAAATCTGAGGCCAATCTAATTAAGCATCCTTGAGTTATAAATGAAAGTTTTGGAGAAAAAATGAAAAATGTTGCCAAGAAATGTTCCAAAAATAGGAAAGCCTATCCTATTTAAACTTATTTTTTTAGTTTTGCTTTCTTATTCAGATTTTATTTAAAATTCTCAACAACCTGTTTAGATTTTACTTTAAATTCTCAACAATCCTATACAAAAAATATTTTATTTTTATATTTTTAAGAAAATCTGCTTTCATAGAAGTATAGTTGAAATTATTGGCAAATCTTATAAAATGCATTGTCAATAACATTTTTAAGCCAGTCAAAAGTGTTTGTTAATTACTGAATAAAAAATGAATATCACTGTATTTTCTGTTAAAGTGCAAATTGAGACTAATGCCACTAAATGGCAGAATGAAAATTTGAAGCCAATTAGATGAGTCATTCTCTAGTTATGGCACAGATTCCAATAATTCCAAGTTTAGTTTACTATTATCAATAAATTTGCTTGCATGCAAATAAAACTTAGGGCTAGGATAGTACCTATATTAAGATACATCATTCATCAAATACTGAAGCTGTTCTGAAAAGATGAACTTAAATTTATTCTACAGAATAAAAATATCACTATTTTACACCTACACATCTGAATTTCATTCTCTGTAGTATTTTTTGCTCCTTTTATGAACATATAAAGCTACATCACTGAGGATTTTGCAAGTTATACAAGCTATTCCAGGATGCTGGGTACAGGTTCAACAACTTTGGTCACAGGGTATGTGAACATGTTAATAGTTTCAAGAATTTGGTCACTGTTACCATACACAAACGCTGAAAACTTGAAGCTGTTTGGATGAGGCCTAATAGTTTATTTATATTTTTATTTTTATTAACACAGCGGCCGTTTCCCACCAAGGTAGGGTGGCCTGAAAAAGAAAAACTTTCACCATCATTCACTCCATCACTGTCTTGCCAGAGGCGTGCTTACACTACAGTTATAAAACTGCATCATTAACACCCCTAAGAGTTACGAGCACAATAATATTGAAAAACTGGAGGAAAAAAAATTAAAGCAACCTCTTAAAGGTACCTTTCTGGAATACCTAATAATAATACAGTACAGTAGTAGTAGTAGTAGTAATAATAATAAGTGCATCAAATGTGAAAGAGGGGTAGGGCTGTTGGGAATGTTAGTGAATGTTTTCTACTGACAAATTGGAAATTGCGTGTGAGGCTGTTTTACGATATGCGCTGATTTACATGAGGATGACTGTCATATTATGAGAGGGTTTACTGTATTTTAATATAAAAATACACTGGACAAAACCAAGTGAGGTGTAATATCTCCTGCCTATCTGCCACCTTATGTGTATACAGTGGAACCTCAGTTTTTGTATGCCCTAGTTTGTACGTAAAACTACAGTTATTCTCTATAAAATGTATTTTTTGTTAATATTTTTGGGTGTCTGGAACAGAACCAATTAATCCGTTCCAGACACCCAAAAATATTAACAAAAAATCCATTTTATAGAGAATAACTAGTTTTACATACACACTAGGGCTTACAAAAACTGAGGTTCCACTGTAACAGTACAATTTTTTTTTTTCAACAAACCGGCCATATCCCACCAAGGCAGGGTGGCCCAAAAAGAAAAATGAAAGTCTCTCTTTTTAAATTTAGTAATTCATACAAGAGAAGGGGTTACTAGCCCCTTGCCCCCAGCATTTTAGTCGCCTCTTACAACACGCATGGCTTACGGAGGAAGAATTCTGTTCCACTTCCTCATGGAGATAAGAGGAATTAACCAAGAACAAGAACTAGAAAGAAAATAGCAGAAAACCCAGAGGGGTGTGTATATATATGCTTGAGTCCTGGAAATGGGAAGTATAATGCCTGCACTCTAAAGGAGGGATTTCGGGATATTAGCAGTTTAGAGGGATATGTTGTTTCTCTTTATATGTATATGCTTCTAAACTGTTGTGTTCTGAGTACCTCTGCAAAAACAGTGATTATGTGTGAGTGAGGTGAAAGTGTTGAATGATGATGAAAATATTTTTCTTTTTTGGGGATTTTCTTTCTTTTTGGGTCACCCTGCCTCGGTGGGAGACGGCCAACTTGTTAAAAAAAAAAAAAAAATGTATGTGTAGTGTGACCTAAGTGTAAGTAGAAGTAGCAAGAAATACCTGTTATCCAGCATGTTTATGAAACAGAAAAGAGACACCAGCAATCCTACTATTATGTAAAACAGTTACAGGTTTCTGTTTCACAGTCACCTGGCAGGACAGTAGTACCTCCCTGGATGGTTGCTGTGATTAAAATTTTTAGAGAAATAATACTAAGCTTGCACACCAAATTATGTTTAAGAAGTGAATTCATTTTGTGTTTCAGACTCAATATTTCTTTAATATATTATTGTTTGGTCATTACTGCCTTAAGTAGAGAGAGACAGCAATGCAGCTAGAAAAACAAGTAGTTGAACCATATTTGCTGGTTGACCATCAGCAAAACTGTTTGGTAATTGAAGGAAGCTCATGAATTTGGAGGATTATTGTACTGTATTATGCTTTAGGTACATTCAGATTTCTTTTTAAACTGAATACTTGAGTACTAAGGTGAATAATGTACTCACTTAAGAGACTTCTTAGCCATAGCTTGGGACTTTTCTGTGGGATACTCCAAAGTAGGTGCACTACGATGAAGGTACAGAATGGGTGCACCAGTCACATACTTATGAATACGCTGCCGAAGCTCGTTATCTTGTGATGCGACAATATACCTAAGATAAAAACCTCTTATTATATAAATCATGCATAACACTTTAACTTTTTATGTTAGTACTGAATACACAAAATTGGAAAATACTTTTAGTACTTAAGACCCAAGATCACCACACACATTTTATGTAAAAATAAAGATTTTTTCATTTAATTGCTGTAAATATATTATGTATGTATATTTAAGTATCCCTTGAGTAAAATTCTTCCAAGTATTTCAGTACTTTGGTGCAGTGGATGCCTAATAATATAACAAAATATTTTACTAGGAAAGGTCTTCACTGCAAGTGTAACTCAAAGAATATACAAAAAATAAATATGTTATAATTATAAAATCCTACTTAGCTGGGTTGCGTTTCTTGAGAAGTGACTTAATACAGGAAAAAGCTGGAACAGGGCTACTCTCATGTCCACACTTATGGACTGGAAACTGCTTTACTACTATCCAAGCACCACGTAACTTTGAACCTGAAAAATGTACATATAAAGATTCGGTATATTCCTCAATAAGGAGACAGAATACTCTCGAGGTGCCCTTTAAAAATAAATTACACGTACATGGTTAGTGTATTCATAAATTCTTAACACACCAGCGGTCTCTCACCAAGGTAGGGTGACCCAAAAAACACACTTTCACCATCACTCATTCCATCACCATCTTGCCGAAGGGACGTTGACACTACAACCTGGATGCCCTCAAAAATGTAATATCCCCCACCACTCCTTCAGAGAGCAAGCACTGTATTTGCTTTGAATCCATTCATAAATATTACCATGCTCACACGTTAACATAATGTCAAGTCATAAAAACACTTGCCTTCACTAATATCTAACACGATCAGACATGCTCATTGGATGTTGAAGCTCTTCGCATACAAAACCTCCTATACTCCCTCCTCCTAACCTTTCTTAGGACAACTCCTACTCTGCCTTCCTTCCACTACAGATATATACCTCCTCCATGTCATCTTATTTTGCTCCATCTTCTCTTAATGTCCAAACCACCTCAATAACCTCTCCCAGCCTTCTGGATAATAGCTTTAATAGCCTCACACTACCTTCTAATCTCCAAATACAAATTCTCTACATAATATTCACACCATACGTTGCCCTCAGACACAGCATCTTTGCTGTTTCCAGCATTCTACTGCAATATTTAAAACCCATGCATCACACCCTTATAAGAGTGTTGTTACCATTATATTCTGATATATTTTCCTTTTTGCCTCCATGGAGAACATTCTTTTTTTCCTCAGATGCATCAGAACACCAACCTTTTTTCCTTGTCAATTCTGAGTCACCTCATTTATTCTTAGACCCATCTGCAACCCTCCCAAATATCTGAACATGTTCACTTTCTCCACAGTCCATCCTTCCAATTTGATATCCAGTCTTTCATTACCTAAATTTTTTGTTACTCTTGTCACCTTGTTCTTTCCTATGCTCATTGTTAATTTCCTTCTTTTGCATATCCACCCCAAATTCATCTACCAACCTTTTCAATGTTTTTTCAGTATCTCACAAAAGCACCACGTTATTGTCAAAATGCAACTGTGACAATTCCTACTTTGTATTACATTATTTTTCTTTTAATCTTTTAATTAATGTTTTATGTTAATATTCATATATATACAGTATGCTACCACATCTGAAACCACATTAACCTCACATTTTAAGTCTGTAATTACTGTCCTTATAGTAAGTGAAAGAATAACACATCAGTGAAGCTCCAAAAGGTTCAGTACTTGGCCAGGGTTTGTTATACATTATTATTATTATTATTATTATTATTATTATTATTATTACAGTGGAACCTTGGTATGCGACCTTAATTCATTCCAGAAGGCTGTTTGAGTGCTGCTCCGTTTGAGTATCGAACAAGTTCTTCCCAACCAATTTTCTGTTTGTTGGCTGTTATCACTAATCTTCGTAGGCCCCATGGTGACTTATTTATACAAATCCATAATACAAAAAAAAAAAAAATATGTGAAGAAACACGAAATAGTTTACAGCAAAGTTATGGCAGGTCGTATTTGTTTGGTCAAGTGCTGAGCTTTGTTTGAGTAGGGAGCTGGTTGTATACTGAGATTCCGCTGTATTACTATGCGTGTTGTAAGAGGTGACTAAAATGCCAGGAGCAAGGGGCTAGTAACCCCTTCTCCTGTACAAATTATTAAATTTAAAAAGAAAAACTTTTGTTTTTTCTTTTTGGGCCACCCTGCCTTGGTGGGATACGGCCAGTTTGTTAAAAAAAAAAAAAAATCTTGGAAAAGTACTAAACTCATGGGAGTCATAGAGTGCAAGGGAAATGGGAGGCAATCAGGCTTGGTTAGAATAAGGAACGATGTGACAGGTTTCAAAACCAATATATTGTACTCATAACATAACGAACACTTCATGAATATACAAATACTTACTTATTTTACTCATTTTTTCTACCTCCAAGATGATGCATTGTGTTGTAACTAATTTAGTCTCAGCTCCTAAATACTTTGGAATCTGCTCGCTGATTTTTACTTTAACCTGTGGATAAAAAATAAAACACAAATTGTATATGCATGCTACCTATTTTTTTTTTTTTAACCTCACCATCCATTTCCCAATAAGGTAGAAAACATTTGCCATCACTAATTACCTAAATAATTATCTTGCCAGATGTGCATGGACATCACAATTCAAATGTCCCTTTAAACCACAACATATCTACTGAGTACTAATATACAGTGGGCCCCCGCCTAACGATCAGCTCCCAACTCGACCAATTATGTAAGTGTATTTTTGTAAGTGCTTTTGTAGGTGTATTTTTGGGGGTCTGAAACGGACTAATCTAATTCACAATATTCCTTATGGGAACAAATTCGGTCTATAACGGCACCCAAACAAACTTCTGGATTGAAATAATATCGTTAGGCGGGGGTCCACTGTAATATTTACTTTCCATTAATGAAGTAAGAGCATTAATTTATCCTCAGAATACTATGCACTCCTGTTCAATCTGCTTATCTTGAGACATTCCTTTTATTAGGAGTTACTGATGCTCCATGAAGGGAACGAAACTAATTTTGATAATGGTGACAAGAAAACTGACCTAACAATGCCATGTAACATCAGTACTTTTGGAAATAAAGTATTATAGTGTTACTAAGTTAGCCTTTGCTATACCATCATGTGTCACCTTTGTATGCCTGTAATGATTACCAGTAGTTACACTTCATTCTGTGCTCTACACATCCTGAAACATTAATTCAGTGGTTGATGTCACTAGTTCCTACTGGTCACCAGTTAACATTAAATCTTTTCACTTGAGAAGGATGAATTACATGCTCTGTGATATTACTATTGCTCCAATGCATAACTAAGAATATACAGTCTAATGAAAAGCTCTTAGTTCCAACTAACTTAAATGAATGAGGTTCAATTGCATGTGAGATTTAACAAAATAAAATCTTTATATATTTGTATTAATAATGTTAAGGTAAATATACATCTATTCCTCTATCTAATAGATGCACTGATTGCAGCAACTTGCAAAGATTAGTCAAATTAAATTAATACATTGTAGATACAATATTAGGCTCGGATTTTTATTTTGTTGAGGTATGTATATACTGTAATGTCAAATTGATGCAGAAATTGCTTACCTCTAAAGCAGCTCCACAAAAAGTAGCATCCAGCAATACACAGTATGGTGGTTGTAGGCCAAAGTTGTTTTTAAAAAATCCTAGCACATGTTGAACTCTTTTATAGCGTTTGATTTTCATTGCTCTACCAGAGTTATCTGAAAAATTAAAAGAAATTATCTCAATAAGTTTTTGATTCAAAGTGCACATGCTATGCATTTCTCAAGATCCCATCCATCAATATAATAAATCACACAGCCAGTACTGAGACCTAATATGCTGGGTTAGGTTATATTAATTCCTCTACAATGAATATAGTAGCCAATGTTTATCTTACAGTTTGGTTAAAATATTAAGTAAATCAATAATTAGTGATCTTCCATGGCACCATGACTACAGCAACTACTGTATATACAATCAGAGTTTGTAGGAAATAATACAGTGAATGTAATACACCCAAGAAAATATATCCAAATTCTTATGTATATGCATAGGAATTATACAGCACCTAGGAAATGTAAGGCAATCAGGACTGAGTCAAGGAAAGGCAGGGTAAGTCCAATTCCTTGGATCAAAAGCCCTTTACCAACATTAAGGAACCTCCCTTGAGGATTATTATAATCATGTGGGAGCGCTAAATCCTTAGGATTATACAACGCATGTGGGGGGAGGGATGGAAGGTATTCAGGCTCAATTCAGGGAACTTGATCCCTAGATCAAGAGCCCCTCACCAGCGTCAAGGAACCTCCCTTGAGGAGAAGTAAATCCACAGCTACATGGATGTAATTCACCTTACAATATGGCCAAAAACATTTAGGTCTTTCATAGCCACATGATAAACGTTATAACATTCATGATTATAATAACTAATAATAACATTCATGAACAATATTCAAACAATGGTGGCTACTACCAATAATATACTCTCAGCTTGGGTTGTGCCTTCCTCTTACAACATGAAGGACTCGGGTTAAATCCTGAGTGGAAAACTTCTTGGGTTGTTGTTGGGTTTATAAGGGCAACAGAGCGTTCATGGCCCGATATTCGAAATTGTAAGACTTCCGTCATAATGTACGAAGGGGTAATGCAAGATGATTAGTAGGATAGGTTTATTCTTACTTATTTTTATTAAGATTCTATTTAGGTTTTCCAATAGAAAGTAAGATTTTTGTATTTACCCATTAGGGGTTAACCAAGAAAAGAGGAGCCTTATTAGGCCTTTAGGCATGTATGGGCCAACATTAACATTATTTGTTTAAAACAGGACTTTTTATTATGGAAAGAATTTCGCCGGGATCATCCCGGCCCCGGGGGGCCTTTTCCAAGTGGTGGCCCAGCTTTGGCTCCCTCTTTAGGGAGGTCTGAGACCTAAGTCTCCCATGGGAGGAGGCACAAGTACCCCGTCATCTTTGGGACCAGCTGTCCCCAGGCCTAGCCACAAGCTAGGCCTCTCTGGTCTGCCATCCCCGCCCCAAGGGGGCTAATGGGAATGACAGTCTTGTGAGCTGAAATCTTGGGCTCAGGCACCTACCCTACCCTAGAAGGGCTGGGCATGGTGTCGATCGCTTACAGACTACTTAACACTAAGGATTATATCATAGTTGTACAGTAGGATAGTAATTATATCATAGTTGTACAGTAGGATAAATTGTGCAAGAAAGGTATAAAATACGCCCAATTAGTGATCAAAGAAACTAATTTCCGCAGACGCAAGTGCCTCGAATCAGCACTGATCGCTGTTTCGAATACAATTAAACAAAACAACGGCAGCTTCACCATCTCTGAAGTCTTAGCGAGAATCCTCCTGAAAACAGTAAACCCTGCCATCACATAGTCTCCTCTGTTATACTACACAAAGCACATTACAGAGAGTGAACACTGAAAAAGGCCTTCTCTATCCAGTCTATATTTGTCCAACCTATTTTTATGTTACCCAAGTAATAGCTTTTATATCCTTTTACTCATGTACGAATTAATTGCTCTACCATATTGTCACTACTACTACTACCACTGATCGATACCATGCCTAACCCTTCTAGGGTAGGGTAGGTGCCTGAGCCCGAGCCTTTAGCTCATAAGACTGTCATTCCCATTAGCCCCCTTGGGGCGGGGATGGCAGACCAGAGAGGCCTAGCTTGTGGCTAGGCCTGGGGACAGTTGGTCCCAAAGATGAGGAGGTACTTGTGCCTCCTCCCATGAGACACTTAGGTCTCAGACACTCCCTAAAGAAGGAGCCAAGGCCGGGCCACCACTTGGAAAAGGCCCGGCCGGGAGAATACCGGCGAATCTTTAATAATAATAATACTACCACTAGTGAACAACGAAATGGTACCTCACTAGTATTGCACCTCACTCTGAGCCTTTATATACCCTCTGTGTCCATATACTGTTTGTATTGGCTTGACAAAGCTCCTGGAGAGCGAAACGTTGCCACAATAAAATGTCACATTAGTTGCACTTGTCATTTTACTTTACACATAAAGAATATTTATACATCATAATGCTGCATGTAGCAGTGTATATGAAAGTGAGGAAAAGGGATTTATTGGTAAAAATTTGCTTTTAGTCTCATAATACTGTAACTAGAAAATATGTATGAAATAATAACAATATACGATGTTTACATTGATACTAATATTTTATTTCAGATAACAAACCCAAACCGAATAAAAGAGTCCTGTTTGAATTAAAGCGTTCAAAAGGTGATTCAGTCATAGTCCCTTACAGTGGAGTACCTTTAATGTGGATTGGTAACCAAGTATACAGTTGTCACCTTGGAAAACCAAGATTCAAGACAAAAGATAAATTTTCCGTAAAGAAGAAAAATTATCAACAGGTAGGCCAAAGTAATGGAGGTTTACATTAGTGTGCATAATCACTAACTTGTACTGTACATTACTTTCTCTTGCATCCCACTCCAGTGTTGTGAAGAAAAACATTTTCATATCCTTTTGGAACTTTTTTTTTTTTTGTGTCCTCTCTGCAATTATAATATAGTATCTTCTTTTGATGGTGCTAAGCAATCATCTTTGTTTCCCTGTAATATATAGCCAGCTATTTACTACTTCTATGGTGTTTTGTGATTTGTGTGACTTTCATAATACAGTTTATAGCCAGCTGCTATCCATCCATTACTCCCATTGTGACTGTGCCTCTCATTATATATATTTTACATATATTTTTTAAACACACCAGCAATCTCCCACCGAGGCAGGGTGACCCAAGAAAGAAGAAACACTTTCACCATCATTTGCTGATACCATAGTTCAGATGCCCCACCAAAATGCAAATATCTCAGTGCTTCAAGATGAGTCTCTCCCCTCAAGGAAGGCTCCTTGACGCTGGTGAGGGGCTCTTGATCTAGGGAATTGGATCTGTGCTCCAGTTCCCTGAATTAAGCCTGAATGCCTTCCATCCCCCCATAGGCGCTGTATAATCCTACGGGTTTAGTGCTTCCCCCTTGATTATAATAATAATAATTCAAGATGAGTCATGATCCTTTTCAGTAAATAAGTCAACTTTTCTTACCAGAAGATATCTGAAACGTGGCTGGAAGAAGTGTAGAAGCCTTCAAGAGGAAACCGGACAAGAATCTTCACCAGGTGCCAGATCAACCAGGCTGTGATGGATATGTGGGGCAGTGGGCCTCCAGCAGCAACAGCCTGGATGACCAGGCAAGCATCACGCGGGGCTCAGAGAGTAGAGAAACTCTCAAAACTCTTCGAAGGTATATCAAAGGTATATACCATAGTTCAAATGCCCCACCAAACTGCAAATATCTCAATGCTTCAAGATGAGCCATGATCCTTTTCAGTGAATAAGGCAACTTTTCCAACAGTTTGCAGTGACTCGCATATCTCTTTCATTGTCAGTATTTCACCTTCAGGCTTAAGTTCCTCATCCTTATATTTTGTTCTCTGCAGCTGGGAATTTAATTCCTGCATCATTTCCTCTGCACTTCGTTCCTCATCACCATTTTTCAAGATTTCATGTATATCATCATCTCAGGTTTGTAGCCACCTTCAGAGATAATGCTAGGTAGCTCGGCAGGAACTTTTCTGCAGCAGCATAGTCAGCAGAGGCACTCTCCCCACTGAACTTTATAGTATGTAAACCACTGTGTATTCTGAATCTGTTAAACCCTCCAGAACTAAATGTGCACTCATTTTTGGGCTGTTCTTCCTCCTTACACAATATTTTATGATGTGGCCTGTTCTTTCAGGCTACACATTTAGTAAACTTTCTGATTTATTTAACTGTATTGACCAGTTCCTCATTCTTTTCAATGTGTCTCATTGAGATTTACTCATTGCACAATCCCTTATCTTCACCTCATTTCGTCTTCCTCTCTGCTCTCTAGTGACTATTTCCGTATCTAGATACTTCTTGTATTTTTGTGAGCCTTATACTCATTATATATTTGTATGTATTTGTATGTGATTGTACTGTATATTTTTGGTTTTGAAATAGCTAATGATTCTTTTCTTACTTTCAGATTGATGATTTATATATAGATAGACCAAAGAAATTACCCCATCAAAAAAAGTTGGCTGCCCTGCAACATTTTCTGTAACTAAAATAGCAAGATTCCCAGACTTGGAGGTACTGTAGTATGTACGTACTACAGTACTACACTGCTCTTGTTATTCCTGTCGTACATTATTCTTGCAGTTTCTCTCTTCTCATACACTGTTCTTGTTGTTTCTCTCTTCTTACATACTGTTCTTCTCTTCATATGTTCATGCTGTTCCTCTCGTATCCTATCATGTTCATGTTGTTCTTCTCTTCTCATACACTGTTCTTGCTGTTCCTCTCATATCATGCTCATGCTATTCCTCTCTTCTCATACACTGTTCGTTCTGTTCCTCACTTGTATCATGAGCTTGGTCTTCCAGATGGCTATGTTGTTTCATTCTCAGTGTGTTTCACATTACTTTCTAACACTTAAGTGGTTTTTCTGTCCCTGTTAAATCATTTAGTTTGTTACTTTTTGTTTTTAACACTCCTCCTTCCTATCATTTACATTTTTAATTGTTGGCCTCTGTGAATAACATTATAACATTTTGTACATGCTGGTAAGATAATCTCATATCTTATCATATTTATCCATTTATAGAAATGCATAATTTTTTTTTTTACAAACAGAACATATCCCACCGAGGCAGGGTGACCTAAAAAGAAAAACGAAAATTTATCTTTTTAAACTGAGTAACGAATACGAGAGAAGGGGTTACGAGCCCCTTGCTCCCGGCACTTTAGTCACCTCTTATGACACTCATGGCTTACAGGGGAAGAATAATCTAATTAAGTCTGGTTAGTCAGACACAACAATGCATCACTCTATTAATTAATCACATGGTAAAAGTGTAAGTTCCCTGAGCTCTAACTTGCTGCTACACTTACTCACATCATACAGCCTGTCACCATTGACCTCTTCTGACCTCTTCTGAAGCCTTGCACTTTCCTGACTAATATCCCCTGTCAGCTTATCATTTATTCATCTTGGTGATCACAGCAGATGTTTAACTTGCAACATTAGGTATATATTTATATCAGACAATTTTTGCTCATTTTACTTATAAATAATCTCATTAAAAATAACAGTACAGTGGTACCTTGAGTTTAGAACTTACGTATTTCGTTCCAGACGGCTGTTCAAGTGCTGTTACCGAACGAATTTCTTCCCATCAGGAATAATGTAAATTAGATTAATCCATTTCAGACCCCCAAAACTACACTTAAAAAAGCACTTACAAAAATACACTCATACAATTGGTCTAGTTGGGAGCAGTTCTAAACTCGAGGTACCACTGTATGTGAAATTACTTCAGTAAATTGATACTGACCTTTCATGTTGCATGCATTTTTCAGGTAAATGACGAGAGTAAATGCAACAGTACAGTGTCTGCAGAACTACAAAATGCTTGGGCCAAACACCCAGAGAAAGTGCGCTTTTATGTTGAGTATTATGTCAAGCGACCCAGGCTGGAAGATCATCAGGGACACATCTTTGGTGACGCAGTAAATTATATCTT